GATTTTGTATACTCTGTGTTTGTGGATGGCAATACAATGTGGTAAAGCGATTTTTTCAATATTTGTTTTGAATTTTTTAAAATTTAATGTTGAAACAATTTTTCGCACATAGCTTCATTTGAGAAACAATCTAAAAGATAATTTTATTGTATGTACCGTCGGCTAGAGCTGGAAAATCTTTTAAATGAAGCTCTTACGTTACTAAATTTGTTGTAATTATTAATAAAGGCTATCATGGTTGATTACTGTCAATTAATCGTCTACAAGTGCCACTTTCTGGATAAAGACTGCCTGCAGTGCAGGCCTTGTACAGCCCCTTTCGCCCACCCTGATCATGACTACACGAGATAATAAATTTTAACTCCATCTTTTCTGAAAAGAATCTGTCCTGATAATACAGAAATTGTTGCGACTTCACTTGCGGAAAATATTTTCTACAAACCTCGTGCATAAGTGATCTATGAAAAGAAATGCCCAGCTAGGCATATTGATTCATTTTCTTATTAAGTACCTGAAAAAAGTCTCCAATTGGCGTTAATTTTTGGTAGAATGATATCGTAACAAGTTCTCTTTTCTATCTTTTCGCACTGCTATTTTGAACAGCTTCTTTTAAGCACATGATTTATGTTCTGTACCTCTTATTTCTGGAGATGATAAGACTATCATAACTTCCACTTCAACTAAGCATTATTTAACAACAGAAGCTGCAGGTGTAAACTTGGATCAAAATATGAAGATTAGATTGCAATTCGTTTTTTCTTTTCAGTATCAGAATCGATTCCTTCAGCGGGCATAATCTCCCATACCCTCACTTAGAATATCTTTAATACGATTTCTAGCAGTCTAATACATATAGAATTGAAATAATACTACAGTGCTCATTTATGTTTATTTATAAATATGTACATCAGCGTGCGAATCCTATTTAAATTAATATTCTTTTATGAATAGGACTGATCAATTGAAGCCAAGTATTTATATAAAACAAGGCTTCTTACACTTTTTTCAATCGCGACCACTTTTTATCACTGAGTTTTTTTTCCCGATAGCCCCAGATATTAAATATAAAATAAAGATATAAAATTAAATATCCTTCCTTAAATAATTTACTTCTTTGGTAAACAATATACGTATAAAAAGACGTATTTTCGGATTTATTTTAAGCAAACAAAAATTAAAGAAAATTGTAGTGAGACAGATGTGCTCGTTTTCTGCTGTATAACAAATTAAATGTTGGTGCGATATTTGACATTGCTGGACATAAAGCATCTTCAACATGTTTCAACATTGAACGATATTTGGTTTTAATTAGCGTTAAAGCTGAAAAAGTAGGTTTATAAAAATATGTGGTGCTAAATGAGGGAACAACATTTAATGATATTTCAGAAATAGTGAGAAATTTAGTTCTAACTCCAATCCAGAATTCATCAAGGATTTTTATGAAAACTCAAGTTTTAAGTTTGAATCGCTAGATAGTTTTACAAATTCCTTTTGCACTCTATACAACAGGTAATTAATCTCATTAATATCAGTTAATATAATGTCTTTAAAAGTCTAATTTCATTAATCTCAATTAATGTAATTCTTTAAAAGTCTTATGAAATGCAGTTTCTTTAAAATTCAACTATCGAATTCCATTTTCGCGACCCCAAAATTTTGATTTGCGACCCATAATTTAAGAAACTCTGCTGTAAACCTTTAAGCATTGCCCCAAGATGTATTTAAAATAGCCGCTGCTAAATGTGTAAACTTTATTTTCCTTTCAAGACATATTTAATATTTTCCTAAATCTGATTGCTAAAATAGTTGTTCAATCTCGCAAAGAAACGAAACATCGTTGTGCCACGAATTATTATATTTTCGAGTCCACTCGTTTGTTTGTTTCTCTGTTCAATGACATGCGGCAAAGTCCAAAACGGCTATGGGAAGGGAAGCCCGTCGTGAAACACTTTATAAGGAAATCTGACTTAAATTATTCGAAAAGAAAACTACGAAAGCATTCTGCAACCAGTTCGGTCGGAGGTATTCGAAACCACTTCAAACTCTATATTCTATCTCTTCGAACTTCATTTCTAGCAATCTTACGCATTCGGCCACCGGCGGACAAGGCTTCTTTGCACGAGGATAATAATTGCAGTTCTAAAGTGCGGAGAGAAGTGAGAATACAAAATGTGCGGCAAGAAGTCACAATAATAATAATACTTAATATTTAAACCTTTTCTCTCTTAAGCAGAAATCTAAGTTTTTGTTTTATTTTTCTAAAACCGATATTGATCATTTTCGAAAACTGCGTAGTCAGAAGTTGTTTATTATAGCGGATTTGTCTTTTGATTATTTTTTTCTTCAATGCTGCATCCAAAAGTATGTTTGCATCATGTCTTTAAAACTGCTATGAAGTGTGTTTTCAAGCAATTTAAAAGAAAAAAATAGAAATTGCTATTTTGAATATTATTTCTTGCATATTTGTATGCATTTCTGCCTCTGATGAAAAAAACTTTTAAAAACGATAATATGATAAAATAATTTGTAGCCTTTCCATTGCAATTTTTTTAATTCAAAATAAAGTTCACTGTGAGAAAAATGCAGCATATCAAGGAAACTGCTCGTAATTTCTTATTTAGTTAATATTAAAATGCAAAATGCACATTTTTTGCAACAAAGGCGACTCACTTTTACGAGCAAATTGTCAGTTCATGTAAGATACGATTCAGTGGTGAACAGCAGTTAGGAAAGAAGAAGTATCTCGTCGAAATGTAATTAATATGGCGTTCCAAATAGCTGCTGCTCTTAAATATAAAAAGATTAAAGGGTAGTACATGAGCGTGATTACATGATCATAAATATTAAAACAGAGCAGAAATCATTTGTCTTCCCTCTCACACGTTAGGCTTTATTGCTATTGCTAAGCGGAGTTTCATTCCTTGAAAAGAGAAGAAAAAAAAAAACTTATTAAATATACGCGTATCTATGAATCATGTAATCAATGAATAATTAAGATCTTCTGGAACATCGCAAAGTGAGGAAATAAAAGGAATACCATGTTATTCAAAAGAGATAAAATGATTTGGCTGAATAACGTTTTATGGTAAATGACAAAAATTATTCCCATAAAACAATCAGTAAATCACTTTTGTGAGTAGACAACAAAAGTAACGGAATGTTTGTTGGAAAACAGTATGAAAATTTATTCCACAATTCGTTATTACACAAACAGGGGGGGGGGAGAACTAGCTACCATTTTTACAATTTATTTAGTTTCGGTGTTTCACTATGAGTGGAATCTTACTATTGATTTTTAACCTACTTTCTGATAAGCTATGGAATTCAAATATTGTTCACATACTATTTGCGGATGACAATGCGATGCGGTGAAGCGATTTTCTCAAAATTCATCTTAGATTTCTTTTTAAGTTTAATGCACAAACGATTTTTCGCATATATTTTTGTTTTACGAACAAATTAAGTATATCAGAAATTTACTATTTGTACTATTGAATGCGTCGGAAAAAGATCCTTTCAGTGAAATCGGTATGAAATTTTTAACTTAATTTTAAAATTGTTGGCACATTTTTTAAAACTGTTCGATTTTTTAGACTATGTGACGTTTATAATATTAAAATTTCAACATCTAAAAATATATCAAGTACAAAATTTTGAAATTATCACACATAATGAAACTATCTTTTCGTCCTCTTTTAAAACACGAATGATAATTGGGCGATGTTCTACAATTTTTTAAGCGATACAGAAGTGGAAGTGTTGCTTCTTCCTTGGGAATCCACGAAACGTAGTTTCAAGTTTACGTTGTCATTGCATCATACTGTTTTTCTTGCATCTATATACGTTTTTCTAAAATTGATTTTATTTATTTATTAAATCATCGGACAGAGGTAAAGGAAACTTTATATTATATTTCTATGAGATTTTTAACATAATTTCTGATTTTTTGACAAAATCGCTGATTTTTTAGATCATTTGACGTAGCCCAATGCTTCTTAACCTTTTTTGCTTCATGTCCTCTTTTCACCATTTCTATACGATCATCCCTCCTTTCTAAAACTCGAAGAAAAAAGCATATACATTTATTTCAGTTTGGGTTATTTTTATTTGTGTTTTAAAAATTAAATAGTAACTAAAAGTACAGAAAATATTGATAAATACCAAAACTTGTATAAAAGCAGTTTTTATATAAATAAACTAAAATTAAACACATAACAGGGAATTAAAAGGTTGACAAGCTATCGTCGTCTCTCTGAAACTGTTAAACTCCCTTTAGTACCCAGGAGTTGTGAACCCCTGACGTAACAAAACTGTCGAAAGTAAAAGTGATTTTTCATTGTTGAGAAACGACTTTTAATTGAATAGTTTGATTGCTAATGTATCGTTGAGACTAAAAAGATGATTTTATAAAATAAGCTTTTATTTAAAGTTTATAAAGTGATTAATGAACGAAAAGGAGAAAAATAATTTATAATGGAAGCAAGAAATTCAATAATTCTGTTTGCAAAATTAATCTAGAATTTTATATCAAGAATAATAAAATCATAGGTGCCTAAATAACAAAATATATTAATAAAATTTAACTCCATTGTCAGAAGTACAAGCCATTATCTTCATATCTTTATCAAGGTCGTCCCATGCTTTTAGTTTTCGTGATATGATATTGTAGATGGGTTATGTAAAGAGGATTATTTAATCTCTTCTTCCCATTAAATTATAAGATAAATTATTTTTCTCCTTTTAGTTCATTATGAGTTTTAAGTAGAAGCTTATTTTACAAAAATAATTTTTTTAAATCACTTTCTTTTTTTTTCACCCTGAGACGTGCACATTAGGATTACATAATTTTCAAAAGCTCACCCGTCGTCTTCCTTTCTCATTCGCCACTATGGAATTAAAATTTTGAGCAATTTTTCTAATAAGTTTTGAGCTCAGTCTCAATAACTCTCTTTCAGAATGAATTACTTAGCTAATTTAGAATACAGAAAAGATCATTAATCTTTATTACTTGCTGCAGTAAAAAAGAATAAAAAATACTTTATTTGCATAGAAAAATATTTCATACAGAAAAACAGAACAATATTAAAATATATCTGGAATGCATCCGCATAGTTAAAATTCAAATTAAATTAATTTTTTTAAAGAATGTTTCTCTTTTGGATCGGTTCTTGGAAATTAAAAACTTCATCCGAATTAAGTGTATCCGGAACGGCGAGATGAGAATGCAGAGAAAGTGCAGCTGCACGTTGCCCGGCATAGATGCAGTGATTCGGTTCCAAGCCTAATACGATGCTTGCAATCATACCCGCAGCAAAACTGGAATTGAAAAAAGATATAAAAAATAACTGTAATTATTATGGAAATAAGTAATTTAAATAAAGTAGTAACACATTTTTGGGGGGATTATTGGAAATGCATTGATGTTTTTGTGAAAATATGCATTTTATATTACGATATGAAAATACATCTTAAAAAAGTCTTTAACTTATGGGAGGTAGTTTAAACAGTATTTAACTCATGCACTTAATTAATTTCAATTGAAAGTAGTAGATATAAATAATGTAAATAGTCATCGATGAAAAGTTATACATGTATGAATAAGTGTGTACGATGAAGTGAAATATCGTAGTGAAAATCATTCATTTTGCTTATAATCCATGTGGTGTCCAGAAATATTTAGAATAATCGTAACACATTGATGTTCGAGGAAGATTAAAAAACTTAAGTGTTTGTAAAAGAAATTCAAAAGTTCTTATTGTTAACTTTAATGCGGAGTTAAAAGACTTTAATTCACAATGAGAACGGCGGAATTCATTTGTACTACATTAAAGAATTGGAAAGGTGACAAATAGGGCTGTATTAAAATTACTTCTGAAATTCAGATTTCCAAAATGTAAAACGAAGGAGGAAAAAATAGAATAATAGTTGCAAATGGACAGGAACAATTACAGTTATAGGATTTTATTACATTAAGATATTCTAGAAGCATAAACGATTAAGGTTATTTGAATATGTCGAAGCATATGAGGGCTATACGCCTAACGAGGTATGCTTTCGTAGAGGCATCCACATGTATGTGAAAGTAAGGAATGACGCTCTCTTCTCATCCACTGTTTTTGTAGGTAGCATTATCTTCAATAGGCAACACAGTCATGTAAAAAGGTCTGCGCTTATATCAGGTATAATTTCAAAGTATGCCAGAACAATAAAAGTGATGTTTTTGATTAAAGAAGTAAGGAATTATATGTTAGAATTGCAAATGCGAATTTGTGGTTTTGTTTGGAGAAATGTTACAGTGAACATACCTGGGCTGTTATATCTCCCCAAGCTGCAGAAAATTCTCATTTTGCACGCATTTTCTAATTTATTTATTTTTTCGATTTTTCAAAGCTTTTATTTGACCATGGTCAACCGCGGACATTGAATTTGCGCATACAAGGTCATAATTATGTTTTCTATAAACCAAAGCATATATTTACTATAAGAATTCATTCTGTTGACTTAATCCCATTTTCATAACCATATCTGACTGCCGTACCGAAAGGCCCGGGAAAGGCGTTAACGTTTGTAAATGTAGAGTGTATGTGAGGCACAGGGTAGCCTAAATGGGGCCAGCCAAAAGTCCTCTCGAAAGTTTGGTGTTAGAGGAAGAAGGGTGAGAGACCCTCTTACTCGTCCCGCCCCCGAGATGTTTCCATCAACACTAATGGAGGCGGAACTGAGCAAAGTACCTACATAGTGCTTAAGGCTCTTGCCAACGACCGACGCAGTCTTGCACTCCTTGCCGCAATGAATTTCGTGGGCTTGTTCTGATGTTACTGTCAGACAAGTGAGACAACTCACAACAACAACATTACCACAATGTATGTTATGTGTTGTTCTATTGCTATTTTCTGAATTCTCTTGGTAGTTTCGTTCTTCAGGAAACAAATGAACCCCTTATCCACAGTGTGATTGCGTTATTTTGACAACTATCTATAATGTCATTCCCCCAATTAAGATATGCCACTAAGTTGCAAATCTGAGGGATCTATATTGAATAAAAGTATTCATTTTCATAACCATATCCGGAAATTTCTTGCCGTAAGGCACATGTTTAAATAGAAAAAAATCAAAATAATAATAAAAAAATTTTTGGAACGAATTTGATTTTGTTCAATGTCGACCAGTAACTGATAGAGATAAACAGCCGACAGCCGCCAAGTCAGCATATCAAAATATTTTAACAGCTTTCAAAATTTTGCTAATGTTCACCCTTAACGGTTAACTCTTATTTTAAATAGGCGAAGAGCAAACCACACAACGTACTGGAATACAACAAGAATCATGTCAAAAATAAAGGCATAATGACACGGTGAATGAAAATGAGATCGAGAATCTCTTCTTGACGGTTGAAAGAATTTAGAAGCTGCTGTAATCCCTGAATTCATCCATTCAGAATTCTTCATGCTTTGCATCTGGTATTTCAAAAACTAAGTTAAAAACAAACTCTAGAATAAGAAAAATAATAATAAACTTGAATAGAAAAGCAGTCACATACCAGTCTCCAGCCCCTGACACGCTAATCAGATTCTTAGTTCTGGGAGCAGGATAGTATACCGCCCGCGGCTTAGTCTGTAATTAAAATAGTTAAGTTACATTATTGCAAAATATGAATTCAACATTTACATACATTTTAGCAAAATTAAATTAGAAATTTAGGACAAAATATTCTCCTTAAAAAGAGTTTTCCTAACGCTTCAGAGAACAATTATTTTTTCAGGACATGCCAAAAATCGTGTTGGTTAAAATAAACGCCTTATATAGGAAGTTGTTAGCTTCACAAGATCATTCATTTGCCTTGGCAGGTATATAATGTTTTCCAATGTAAAGAAATCAGCCATTTAAAGACGTATACTTCTTACCCTATTTTGGTATAGTTTTAACTCCCAAAAAATTTTTAACAAAGTTCTTTAACTGCGCTCTTTTTCGGCAATTAATATGTTTTTTGTTATTTGCAAAGATTATTATTTTATAAATATTGATATTATTAACATAATTACCAAAAGACGTTTTTAAAACTGTATGCTATGTACACCGTTTAGACACTTTTCCTTTAATTCTCAGTGTACAAAGAATCGGATTAATAAGTGGTTGTGCAGGTGCTTTTTGAGGCATTAGACTTAGTGAGATGCCAAATACAATAGTTGTCAAAAACTTAATGCAAGTAAATGCATAATTAGGTTTCCTTATAATGCATTAATGGGCTCCATCGATAATCTCTGCCTGCGACACAGAAATGTCATCGTAGATAACGATGTCGTAATGCAGACAGTTTTGTCCTTGAGAGTACTTTACTATCTGCATAAAAAATTCAACTTTTCAAAGTTAAATAAAATAATTGTAATCTCATCACGTTCCAAATTACTAGCTTTAGTAACTTGTTAGTAGATAGAAAATGGGGGTTCTGCGACAGGTGGATCAGTGGATCAGGGGGCGTGGTCAATGACATCACAGAGGGCGGGGCCAAAGGCAACGTCATCACACTAGGAGGCGTGGTTTCGAGTGGAGTTGAGTTGTTCGTAGACTACTGATTGAGTTATAGACCTCCTGCTTTTCATTAAAAGTTAGTTTTTTTTAATTTGGCAACGGAGTCATGGCGTCCTCTAGGGACGAAAAAAGAAAATAATGTATTTAGGAATTGCTTATGGCGTCCTCTAGGGATGAAAAAAGAAAATAATCTATTTTAGAAGTTTCTTTTTTTTAAATGTTCTATGATTCAAAATATAGGATTGAACCCTGAAACAAAATATCTCACCAGCTGAGTAGTTTGAAGATTTTAACCACTAAGCTGACGGGATACATTCAGATTAATGGTAAAAAGCCTATATAAGAAAATGGAATTTGAATCAGCTCATCAATTGCAATTATGCCTGCTCCAGGAGAAGCCACCGTTGCGATGTGTTTTTATACACTGTTTTTATGTGTTATTTTATCATCCATCTATATTTTTACAGAATTTCATAAAATTCCTATTGATTTTACGCTACGTCTTAACGACAGTGGGAACTTATCATTATCCATATAAAGAATAATTCATAGGTTATGAATATGAATTTATCGTATCAGGATCCGGCTCATGTTGCAAGTTTTGGTGGTGTTGAAGCTTTACATCGTGCTGCAGGAGGTAAAGTTTCCAGGAAAGAGATTCAAACATGGTTAGAGGGAATAGATGCGTACACGCTTCACAAGCCAATTCGCCGAAAATTTCCAACGAATAGAGTAATCGTGTATTCTATAGATCAACAATGGCAAGCTGATTTAGTGGATGTTTCACATTTACGTGATCATAATGATGGTTATCGATATATATAACCTGTATTGACATATTATCCAATATGCATGGGCTATTCCTCTGAACAAAAGCGGGGGAGAAGATATGTGAAAGCGTTTCAAAAAATAATGAGTCAACGTAAACCAAAATTCCTTCAAACGGATCAGGGCACCGAATTTAAAATAAAGTGTTTATAAAATTTTTAAAAAGAAATCAAGTTAAACAAAACTTTTCAGTACATTCAATACTACTAAAGCATCCGTGGTGGAAAGGTTTAATCGCACTTTGAAAACAAAAATGTGGAAATACTTTACGACTCGAAATACATATAAATATGTAGATATCTTGGACAAATTAATAGAAAGTTATAATGCTACTTTTCATTCAAGTATAATGCGAGCTCCCATAGAAGTCAATTCAGAAAATGAGAGTGACGTATGGTTTACCTTGTATAAAGATCATCCTTCTAACGTTTCTAAATGTACAGGGTGATTATAATTAAAGTTTAAGTTTCAAAACGCTATAGAAAAAGAAGCACTCATGAAAATGACGTCAAATTTGAAAAGGAATGTTATTGAAGAAGGTGGAAAGTGTATGGCAGAAGAAAAAATTAAGTTTCAAAAGTTAGCAACAGATGGCGCTGCAAGCGGAAGAATGACGTAAATTAAAATGTTAGTTAAATTTCAGTGTTATAAAGCCGCCAGGTAACCAGGCTGTTCTCTTATTTCGCGTCTCAGACGTTCGCCATGGGTGTTCCTGCAGGACCGCGGTCTGCTGGTAAAGCTGTATTACAAGAATGATGATTGTGCAAGAGTAGTTCTGCAAAAATTCAGGACACTAAAGGGATATAAAAGAAAGGCGTTGGTCCAATGAGTGTCGTAGGATCTAAAGAAAATGATGCAAAAATTCAAAACGACAGGTTCGTTTGATGTGTAATCTGGTAGAGGGAGAAAACGAGTGTATTCGACGGTAGTTGAAGAAAGTGGCCACAGCATTACAGGAGGGGTCGGCCGGTGGTGTGCAACAGTGCAAGTGCACGAGGAATTGAACGGAACATTGGACAGGCCTACGAGCACACGGTGCTGAAAATTGTACGAAACATCCTGCAATGCTATCCGTACAAAATTGGCCATGTGCAGGAATTGCTTCCGCTTCCGCCTGACCTGACAGCTAGGGAGACGCGTTTTGCGTTAGAATTCCTGGCTCACATGGAAGTGGATAATGAATGGCCGTGGAAAATTTTGTGAGAGATGAAGCCCATTTCCATCTGACAGGATACGTGAATACCCAGAATTGTCGAATATGGGCAACAGAAAATCCACTGGCAACGCACCCCGTACCACTTCATCCTGAAAAGGTCACGGTATGGTGTGGCTTTACGGCATCATTTATCCTAAAACCATATTTTTTCGAACAGACGGGTGCTTCCGGTCCTGTTACTGCAACCGTCACTGGTCAGAGGTATGCGTCTCTTTTGCGCAACCACGTGATTCCAGCTCTGCAACAGCGTGGATGTGTGGATGAAATCATTTTATGCAAGATGGCGCTCCTCCGCACATTGCACATCCCGTGAAGCAGCTGCTGAGGCGCCATTTCGGAAATGCTCGAATTATCAGCCGTCATTTCCCTACAGCCTGGCCGTCCCGATCGCCTGATCTTACTCCGTGTGATTTCTGGCTGTGGGGATATCTGAAGGATGTTGTGTTCCGTGCTCCAATTGCAAATTTAGCGGAATTAAAGGCACGCATTTCGCAACACATTCTGAACATCACCCCGGAGACACTGCGATCCGTTGTGGAACATGCTGTTGTGTTGTCGCTTTCAACTTGTTGCACACAACACCATATTGAACATGTTTTGTGCCAGTCTCGCGACAGTTCCGAACTTCTTTGATGAATGGTTCTTATGCGGTATGTCAACGCAAAACTCTTGAAACCGATTTGTCCCTTTCGATGTGATATGTATAGTCATGCAAATAAAATTATTCAACAGTTCTAATTTGTCAATGCATTTTAATGTGTAACTTCCACCTTAGCCATTGTTTTACGAATCGCTTCTCGTTTCTCGTCGTGATTTTGCCGCTTACGCGCCATCTGTTGCTAACTTTTGAAACTAAATTTTTTCTTCTGCCATACGCTTTCCGTCATTTCTTTTTTTATAGCTTTGCTCGCTGTAGGAGATGTGGTACGTGTTTCCAAACTAAAGCTTACTTTCGAAAAAGGCTATGAAACCAATTGGACGGAAGAACTATTTGTGGTGACAGAGTGTGTTAAAAGACATCCAGCTGTGTATAGAATTAAAGATTTACTTGGAGACTCAGTAAAAGGAACGTTTTATGCACAAGAGTTGCAGAAAGTGAGACTGAAAGAGGAATATCGCATTGAAAAAATTTTAAAGAAACGTATACATAAAAACAGACAGAATACTTTGTAAAATATCGCGGTTATCCCGACAAATTCAATCAATGGATTCCAGCTTCTAATTTACTCTCGATATAAAGTGTGAGAAAATACTGTATCCGAATCATTTATGAAAATGAGTTTCTACGTAACACTTCCGAGCGATAGCTCTATGAATTATTTCCCCGAAAATAAAATTTCACATTTTATAACACGTTTACCTGTTCCCATTGAATTAAAAGGTATGTGGGAAGTTGGTTTGGTTGAATTGCTATATCCGCACACATGGCACAATGTGAATGCAGACAATAACTTAATTGGATTTGTTTTAGAGAAAGATGGTGAAATGTTAGGTCGTAGATTACCTCCAGGATGTTATGAAACAGTACCTGATATTTTAAAAGCTATTTATATTAAAGAACATCAAAACAAAATAATATTTAATTATAACCCAGTAACAAAACGAGTGAAAATCAAAGTGAAAAATAACGCTAAAGTGATTTTACATGATGGGTTAGCACAAATGTTAGGTTTTGAACCTATGGAAATTACATCTACAGATGATAGTTCCGAAACTGTTGTAGAAAGTCCTTTTGCAGCCGACCCCTGTGCACATTATCGTGTATTAATGATATATACGGATATTGTAGAACCTCAAATCGTAGGAGATGTTTTAGCTCCTCTTCTTCGAATTGTAAGAGTAACTGGTAGCGATGGAGAAGTGGTGAGTGCACTATTTGATAGACCTCATTATTTACCTGTGAATCGGAAAATGATAGACACTTTGGAAATCGATATAAGAACGCATATGGGAGCATTTACGCCATTTGAACGAGGAAGGTCATACGTGAAACTTCATTTCCGTCAAAAATACTTGTCATAATGTATGTACCTTATCAGTG